CATAACAGTCGTCAGTGCGTCGGACAATCTTGACGCACCCCCAATGACACTCATGAGTCTCTCCCTACGGACTACTTTCAACGCGAAGGACAACAAGCAAGAGATCTTGGTCGCCAGTGCTATGATCTACGACAACTTCTCCTTGACCGACACGACACCCGTGGACCAGATGCAGTGCAAGAGCTTCACCATTATGCGGCCGAACGGCGCAGCTTTCCCAGTAGGCTTTGACAAAGAAGTGGAGAAGGTTAAGGGCAACATGTACATGAAGAAGACTGAGCAGGAACTTCTGAGCCTGCTGATGGCGATGTTCCAGCGGCACGACCCGGACGTCCTCGTCGGACATCGCTTGGACGACGTGGATTACAGCGTTTTGCTAAGCCGTCTGCGTGAAAAGAAGACACCGGGATGGCACCGCATTGGGCGACTCAAGAGAAGCGACTGGCCCAAGAGCATGGGCAAGGGCGGCGGAAGTTTCTTCGCTGAGAAGCAACTAGCTTCTGGCCGCTTGCTGTGTGACCTGGCTAATGATCTCGGAAAGTCTCTGATGCCCAAGTGTCAATCGTGGAGTCTTGAGGAGATGGTCCAGCTTGGGCTCAACAAGCGACGTGAAGAGCTCGACAACGAGGCCGCGCTCAAGACTTGGGCGACGACGAAGGAGGGTCTCCTCAACTACATCAAGCACTGCCAAGCCGACGCCTACTTCATCGCTGCGATCTCGATAAAGGTGCAAATGCTTCCACTCACCAAGGTTCTCACCAACTTGGCGGGTAACTCCTGGGCCCGAACACTGAGTGGAACTCGTGCCGAACGTAACGAGTACATTTTGCTCCACGAGTTCCACAAGAACAAGTACATTTGCCCGGATAAACAGTGGGGCAAGAGCAAAGTAAAGGCCGAGGAAGAAGCAGCCGAGGGCGAAGAAGGTGCGGATGCCAAAAAGAAGGACAAGTTTAAAGGTGGTCTTGTCTTCGAGCCCGAGAAGGGTCTCTACGACAAGTTTATTCTGGTCATGGACTTCAACTCCCTTTACCCCAGTATCATCCAGGAGTTCAACATTTGCTTCACCACCGTCGAACGATCCGATCTCTCGGAAGATGACGACAAGGTGCCCGAAGTCCCCACAAACCAAGACCAAGGTATCCTACCGCGCCTTATTGCTACACTCGTCTCACGACGTCGCGAGGTGAAGAAGCTTATGAAGGCCAAGGATGCCACTCCGGATGAGTTGGCAACTTGGGACATCAAGCAAATGGCTCTGAAGCTCACTGCCAACTCTATGTACGGATGTTTGGGATACACCAAGTCTCGATTCTACGCTCGACCACTCGCTATGCTCACGACATACAAGGGTCGTGAGATTCTCCGCAAAACCAAGGACATGGCCGAGGAGAAGGCATTGCGCGTCATCTATGGTGACACTGATTCCGTCATGATTAACACAAACGTCGATAACATTCAGGATGCGCTGAAGTTGGGTAACGAGTTCAAGAAAGAGGTCAACGACAGCTACAAGCTTTTGGAGATCGACATCGACAACGTCTTCCGCCGTATCCTACTGCATGCCAAGAAGAAGTATGCTGCCATTAATATGGTCCCTGTCGATGGAAAGTACATCGAGAAACTCGAAGTCAAAGGTCTCGACATGAGGCGCAGGGAGTACTGTGCTCTGTCCAAGGAGACATCAACGTAAGTTCTCCAGCCTACGGAGGTAGATACAACGGCGTACTAACAATGCTATAGGGAATTGCTCAACTTCCTACTTAGTGGTGAAGATCCTGAAGTAGTCGTTGAGAAGATCCACAACCACCTTCGCGAGCTGAGCAAACAGATGCGCGAGTATGCCGTTCCAGCTCGCAAGTACACTATCTACACACAGCTCGGAAAGAATCCCAAGGAATACCCCAACGGTAACTCGATGCCCTCTGTCCAGGTCGCACTTCGCCTTCAGGCCAAGGGTAAACACGTCAAGGCCAAAGATGTCATGAGCTTCATCATCACAGGTGAATCATCTGGCTCGGCCGAGAACGCAGCAAAGAACGCCTATCCCGTTGACGAAGTTTTGAAAGCCGACAGTGAGCTGAAGCCCGACATTGACTACTACCTCCACAAGCAAATTCTGCCACCAGTGGAGCGTCTCTGCGCGCCCATCAGCGGAACAAACATCACTCTCCTCGCAGCGTGTCTTGGCCTTGACACCTCCAAATACCGTGTGAGTACCGTTTCAGGAGGCGCACAACAAGACACCGAAATCCACCCTCTGGAGTCGCAGATACCCGACTCTGTGCGCTTCCAATCATGTTCGCCGCTTTGGCTGCGCTGTCGAGGATGTACGACAGTATTCCCATTCCAAGGCCTCTCTTCGACATCACCAACATCGGCATCGTTGCAGACCATCTCGCACAGTGGTATACAATGTCCTGCTGAAGGCTGTGGCAAAATACTACAGAACATCAGTGTAGTGGCTCAGCTCGAATCCTCCATCCGCCAAATTCTCGCTTCATACTACGCAGGCCACGTTGTATGCGACGATCCCCAGTGCTCAAACCGAACGCGTAGTATATCCGTCTATGGTCACCGGTGCCTTGGTCCAAAGGGACTCGCTCGAGATTGCTTGGGCAAAATGACCTACGAGATCAAGGAGCGCGACGTCTGGAACCAGCTATTATACTACCAGTCCCTGTTCGACGTTGATCGTGTCAGTAAGATGGACGGCGGTGTCAAGGCGGAAGACATGGAGAGGAAGGAAAAGATTAAGGTACTGGCGGAGGTCAACAGGGAGAGATTCGGTACGCTGAAAGGTGTGGTGGAGCGGTGGCTGGAGAGGAATGGAAGGCAGTGGGTGCAGATGGATAGCCTGTTTTCTTTTGCGCTCAAGGCATAGGTGGTTTGGTTTCACAAAGGCGCAGCATAGGCGATACATAATCGTCCGGGCGCGCCGTGGGGTTCATCTGGTTCTGGATCATGACGGTGTTTTGCATATAGTGTTGACGTGCTTGAATGTAGCTTTTGACCATGATATCTGGAAAATGCTGTATTGCTTGGGTATATGTATTACTTGTATTATAAATTACATCGCTTTTCGCTCACGATCAGACGTCGCTTGAACCATCGCACTGAAAGACCGTGATCATACAGTAGCAATTCCTTGGGGTACGTTGTCGTTATGCGCGCCCTTCTGCACATTGCCCTTCAGGGCCTCGCGACAAGCTTCGTGGAAGACCGTAATGAATCGATGGATGTCGTGGAAGGAGTTGTATAGTGGCGCAGGCGCAACGCGCAGAACGTCGGGCTTTCTTTCGTCAACGACGACACCACGCTCTTCAATGTAGTGCTGGACTTTATCCAGTAACCCCGGGTTTAGAAGTAAACTGAGCTGCGCGCCCCGCTCAGCCGGGTTTGCGGGTGTGATTATCTTATATGGTGGCTCTCCTCCATCGTACTTCAGGAGCCGCGCCTCGAGGTATGCGGTCAGTTTTAGGCTACGTTGACGTAGCGCGTCCATGTTTGTCAACGCAAAGACGTCTGTCGATGCCATGACGGAAGTCATATCCAGTGCGCTGGGATTGCTGAGTTGAAATCCGCTTGCACCAGCAATGGGAACAAATTTGTTTTCCATTCGAAATCGACTGCTCTTATCGCTTCCCCACCAGCCGCTCAGCCGTGGTCGATAGGCGAGCTCGGTATCGTTACTGACTACGCCGTTTGTGCCGTCTGTTCGAGATGTAGACACTTGCTCCACCCTTCCGTGCCTCTCGTGTACGAAGAGTCCACCGATGACTCCTGGACCACCATTCATGTATTTGTAGTTACACCACGCTGCGAAGTCTACGTTCCAGTCGTGTAGCTTCAGCGGGACGTTTCCAGCTGCATGCGCTAGATCCCAGCCCACTGTAATACCCAGTGATCGGCAGTGACGCGTTATGAGTTCTATATCGAAGAACTGGCCCGAGTAGAACTGAATACCAGGTAACAACACTAGTGCGGTTGTAGGTGCGTGGTGTGATATGACGGAGAGGATGTGTTCGTTGGAGAGGTAGGGTGAGGAGGCCGAGGGCGGGTCGATGGTAACAAGCGCAGATGGATCGAGGTTGTGGTGGGCGATCTGAGAAAGAGCTGCGTACTACAAGAAGTCATTAATTACCAAGCGCTGATAGCATGTATGCATCAACCTACATGATCGCTGGGAAACGCCTTGCCCTCGATGATGATCTTGTATCTGTCCTTGGTCGGTCGATAGAAACTTGCCATAAGCAAATGCAGGTTTGCAGTCAATGTCTCCATTACGACGACTTCGGTAGGCAGTGCACCGACTATTTTCGCGGTTTCTTGTTTTATCGCATCATCAATGTGTAGCCATGGCGGCAGGCCTCCTTCGTAATCGGTAAAGTGACCAAATACGCCCTTAGATGCCCAAGTATCAAGGTAGCGATTCACATATTCCTTGGTCCTCCGAGGCTGCAGTCCCAAGGAGTTGCCGCAGAAGTATATGGACTCTTCACCGTCGTCTTCGCGCGTGTTCGCAGGTTTTCCGTTCTGCTGAAACCCGAACTTCCTGTTCCTTAGGTCGCCCTTTGTCGGAATCACGAATTCGTCCCTCAACTTGCTCAGGTCATCTTTCTTATCTTCCTTTTTCGCAAAGTCGTCGGTGCACAGTTCCGCCTGTGGAATAGCGAGATAAGGGTTGTGGTGTTTGGGCATGGCAGCTGGTGATGAAAGAAGAGTTAGCGGGATTCGGACAAGACAAAGCTTGTGCAGAGATGCTGTAGCACTATCATTGAGGCTTCAGGGACGATAAGTAGATAGCTTGAGCGGGTAAGGCTGGAACAGTCTGGTGCTCGTACGATGGATGGTGGCGGCGGCACAAGGTGGGGTTTGTGCCTGACTCAGCGGGTCTAGAACCCCGAGTGTGAGGGCACGTCTGATTGGATCCCGTCGGGCGTGACATTCCTAGCTATGACCTCAGACTCGCGGTCCTTCATCGCGACAGCGCCATCCACATGCTCGATATCGCGATAATGGCCTCCCCTTCAACCATGTGCGCGTCGTGCCTGCGGATAGCAAGACAAACAACGACACGGCGGCCGGCCCAACCTATCGCCGCCGCAGCTCAATCAATGCGAGCGTACAGCAGAGCAGCACCGCACGCCACTTCGCCATCGCTATTCCTCGACTTTCTTGCGCCATCATCTCCACGAGGGACTTCAAGACTTGTCCCAGTACAAGGTTTAGCATTCTCACAACCACAACACATACCACGACGAGCCCTCGCCACATCATCCGACGCCTCCACCGCAAAGCCCGCCCGCGCGATCCAAAACCCACGCACCGACGATTCCGGCAACCCCATGCTGATCTCGATAGCACCCCGTGCATCGAACCGGCTTCAGAAGATCTCCTCGGGCGATAACAATCCGAACCTCGCATTGCGCGTAAGCATCGAGAGCGGCGGATGCCACGGCTTCCAGTACCTCATGGACTTGACCGACCTGTCCAAGAACCCGGCGACCGAGGAAGATACCATATTCGAGGGAGAGAAGGGAGAGAAGATCGTTATCGATGAATCGAGTTTGGAGCTGTTGAATGGAAGCACGGTGGACTATACCATGGAGTTGATCGGGAGCCAGTTCAAGATCACTGGCATACCAGGGGCGACGAGTAGTTGTGGGTGCGGGACGAGCTTTGATATCAAGATGTAGATTATACCCAGGCAGTTAGATTTACACTGGTCAGTGTTTTACATGGAACTGGTCTCGTAATATGCATGGAGTAACCCGGTTTCTCCGTAGGTAACCTATCTTGACTACCTTCTGCACGCTCCCCATGCAGCGATCGTCCTTCACACAAATTGCGGAGTCAAAACGCCCCGCGTTTCTTTCGGTCGTTCGAAGTGGTCGCTCGCAGGGTCAGATTCAAAGTCACGTACGTGATAGGCTGCGGGCGCGGTGGTTTCGCCCGTGCGTTTGTTGGTCCAGCGGCAATGTGGTTGGTGGTGTTTGCATGGGGCACGAATACCAAACGCGTTGGGCAGACCTCGCGACTTCCTTTACTCGAAACCTTTCTCCTCCGTCTTCTTGCTCCGTCCTCCACGTGCGTTCTCTGTGGAATTACATTATGCGAGACCCCGCCCCTCTCAAGACGACGATGTCAATACAGTCAGCACTGCCTTTGCTGGAGCTTGATCATTTCGACACCTCCGACATTCGGCTCGAAGAAGAGATAGCGATTCGTGTCAATGACGTTGATTTCGTCTTGATTGAGCATTGTCAAGTAATCACAGCATTCTCTTCCTTGCCGCAATCGCGCGCTAAACATCACAGAACTTCCTTAGTTTCGATCACAACACTCTAACGTTGGTTCTCGTTTGTGTCGTCGAACCAGGACATGTTATATCGAAATCCACTCTCGAGAGGCTGCGAACCGAAAGGCTCCAAAAAGACGATGTCTTTCAGCCGGTTTTTACCAACACTGTTGTCTTCTATGGCGCGAATCAGGATGAGGTAGAGTTTAAGGAAGATGCTTTGGAGGCACTAGCTACATGGGGTACCAAAACGTGGAGCTTCGTTCCAGGAACAAACCATGGGCTTGTGCGGACCGGCCCGTACGTATACGTTCATGGGCGAACATGGCAGCCTTGGAGAGTATACAGCGAATTTAACGGTACATTCATGTGTACATTCAAGCCAGGGTCTGAGAGTACTGGAAGATAAGCGCTTCTCACATCTTCTATCATCAAAAACTAACTGCGCTTACTCTAGTCAAAGTCGACGAACCAAAGGCTGGACTCAATGGAAGAGTCCTGGTACCATCACGATGCTACTTCAATCCGAGCAGTGCCCGCCCTCTTGATGGTGCAAGAATCAGCGTCAAGGACAACATTGATATCGCTGGCCACAAGACCACCCTATGCAATCGTGCCTGGGAAGATTTATACCCACCCAGATCCAAACACGCAGATTGCGTCCAGACTCTGGTGGACGCTGGGGCTATCATCGTTGGGAAAACCAAGCTGCAAGCAATGATCATGCGGGAGGAGCCACTAGAGTGTGTGGAGTTCGCAGCACCGTTTAATCCTCGGGGCGACGGCTACCAAGTCCCTTCCGGAAGCAGTCATGGGAGCGCTGCAGGCATAGCATCATATGACTGGCTGGACTTTTCGCTTGGTTCGGACAGTAAGTGGTTCGCAGTCGCTACATCTTCTCGCGCCGCTATAATATATGGCTGCTATCACCCTATCGGTAAACTGACATTGATGTAGCAAACGGAAGTGGACGGAAGCCAGCGTCATACAATGGATGCTTCTCGATCCGACCCTCCACAGGCATTCTAAGTACCAACGGAGTCATCGGACAGTTCAAGTAAGTTAGCAAGACTAATGACTGCTTGCACCGACTGACAGACGTCCTTGTCTTTTAGCAAGTTCGATATGCCCGTATTCTTTGGTCGAGATGTATCAAAGTTCGCAGACTTCATATCAGTATGGTATGGGAGTTCACCCGTGCTTCGACAACCTTCAAATGTCAGTCCTAGTTACATATCTTCTACTCAAACATACTTTGCTGATGCAAGGCTAGACGAGGTTCAGGATTCTGTATTCCCAAGACTACCTTCCCACTTCCAACATGGCGCAATCTTCGCTTATCGACAATTTCGTCACGGGCTTAGAGTACGCTTTGGGAACTACAAGGACCATCATCTCCTTAGCAGATCAGTGGAGGCTAGAGTGCCCAGATGGAAACGATAATGCCGATCTAGCGGAATATCTTCGACTTGTACGTACTCTTCGTACCTCAACACCAAAACTAGCTTTACTAAATCATTAGCAGACCGGAAGTTACCCGTACTACCATGATTCGTATCACAATCTACACGATTTCCGTAAGCTATACGAGGAAAAACACGGAAAGCCGCCTTTCGTACACAGAGCGATGCATTGGCAATGGTAGGTGATATCTCATTCGACACATAGCTTTGCTTCACACTAACCGTCGACTGACAGGGATGTGTCGAAGAAGATTACAGTAGAAGAGCGAGACTTCTACTGGCGACGCTCTGAGCTTTACCGAAAGTGGCTTCTAGACAGGGTCTTTGATACAGATAACAAAGACTGCATCACCATCATGGTATTTCCGATCGAAGAGGGAAGACCCAACTATCGCGACGCGGTGCTGCCGTAAGTAAGACAGATATGCTGCCAGGACTCCACTCACTTACGTACAAATAGACCTTACGCCATTCTCAGCGGGTATTCGTCGTTGAACATATCTCCTATGCTACGCGCTCCGGAACTCACTGCAATAGGTAATGCGTCGCCGAGCACGTGTGTTACATGTACTGATACTACTGCAGTGGGCGAGATCACGTATCATTCGACCGTTACTCAACGTGAAGAGCCTATGCCGGTGGCGGCATCGATCATAGGAGCTCCAGGTAAGCTATCGATAGAGCACCAAATTGTCCGCATGCCCGGTCTCTGACTCTGCAAGGAACCGATCTCGTCCTGGCCCGATTAGTGCAGAAAGGCTTGGAAGCCAGAAATTTGCCGATCAGAGTGAAGACGGGCCGGTCAGTATATTGAAAAGGGTAGCCACGTGGATGGAAAAGTGGAAAAATTGTTTCCGTCGAGAGAAAGTGCACACATTGGAAACTTCTTATTGATCGAAAATTGTAGTAAACTCCGTGCTTCTCTACTGAGAAAGTACCAGGACAGCAAACCTTCAAGACCATGTGCCAAATCTCAGGATCACTTCAGGCTTACAACCACCTTCCTTGCCGAAACACCCTTCTTCTGTATCTCCAAAGCTCCTTGGATGGCTTCTAGACCCTCTCCAGCAATGCTCGGTTCGGGAGCTGCTCTGAATCGGCCAGTCGCGAGTGCCTCAGGCAGGAAGTCAGCGTACACGGCTTCGCCGACAGGGGAATGCGCCACCGATCCGTACACGAAACTTGTCTTGATACCTCGCAACTGTGACTTGATGATGATAGAGATCATCGAAGTGGTGAAGCTCCAGACAATCTGCAGTGCGACAAATCGCTTCGGTTGAGCCGGGATTGGATAGGTCGCCATCGCAATACGCTTATTGCCTTTACATTTACCCATGACGTCTAGACAATGGAAAACTGCGTTCTCTCCAATAGACATGGCTCCCGCGCATTCTTTCCCTTCCATGGCCCCGACGATCTTGTCGACTGTAGAGGGGTCGTTGTAGTCGAAGACTTTGCTAGCACCGAGGGATCTCATGAGATCGAAGTTCTTTGGCGAAGATGTTGTTATGACTTCGTATCCAGCGGAAACAGCGAGTTGGATAGCGTTGCAGCCTACGCTAGTCGAGCCTCCCCAGACAAGGACCGTCTTTCTGGTCGGTTTCGGGTGAAGTTGAGGATATTGCAGACCGAGCTGATCCTTCTCGAACAGCCCTGCTGCAGCGGTAGTGAAAGCCAGAGGTATCACTGCAGCAGATTCAAATGATAAGCTGTCTGGAATAGACGATGTGTTCCTTTCCAGGAGAACGGGAAACAGCTGGAATGCTCCGTATGCCGCGCTGTTGATCTTCTTGTCTGTACTGTGCGCCTGACCTAGAACACGGTCTCCTACTTTGAACCGTACCACTTTGCTGCCGATCTGAACCACTTCGCCAGCGACATCAAAGCCGAAAACAAAAGGATATTTGATCCAACCGAACGCCATACTGGTGCCCTGGTCTTGCAAAACCCAATCCACGGGATTGATCGCCACTGCACGATTCTTGACGATAACTTCATCGGGCCCAGGAGTAGGAAATGGCGCTTCCGAGACTTCCATGCGTTGCTTCGGTGCTGGCATCCATGCTGCGAGATTGGTAGGCATCGTGTAGAAGATGAGGACTCGGAGAAGTGATTAGATGTGCGTTCTCAAGATATTGAATGATGATAAAGTTTGAAGTATCTTTCCTTGCAGCATTCTCAACATCTAGATTCCTTTCCATCTTATACTTCTACCAGCTCCTGGACTTGATGCCTGCTTGCAATGCAATCTCGTGGACGCGGAGCATTGCACCAATCAGAGGCCAGCGGACGTCCGTTTGGGCCCACATTTAAGCCACCTGCCGTCCGTAGGCTTACTTCGATTACTCTGACGCACACGACCCCAATAGGAAGAATGTGCGATTTAGTGTAAAAGCTCTGGTAAGATACGGCCCATGTATATAGCCGCCGACCTAAGTTCCTCCGTGCGTATCGTGCTTATGTTGCCACCAAGATCACTACCTATGGTCAGCAGGTCCTAAACACTTCAACATCTCCTAAGTACGCCTGAAGCAAACCAGAGAGATGACAAACTCGCCTATTTCCTCGGAACGACTGCTAGAGAGAATGAGAGGTCGGGAGAAGGCCCAGCTATCCTGTGATTTCTGCAGGAAGAGAAAGTAAGGAAGTGATTTACCTTATTACCAAGACACCTAACAGGAAATGTCTAGACTTCGATGTGATCGAAACAAGCCTTGCGGGAGCTGCATTCGACTAGGGCAAGTGGCAGGGTGCAGCTTCCCTCTACCCCAACTTCCGCGAGCTCCACAAAAAGACAGACCGATAGAGAGCGCCACGCGAAAGGCGTTCGAGGAACGAATTGATCAGCTGGAGTCGCTCGTCCGGTCTTTGCTTGACAAACAAGAAAAACCCCCTGATGCTCGGATGCCGGGGAATCTGGCGACCCAAGAGACTACAGAAACCGTCGCCGCGGTGGATCCTCTCGTATATGAAGCTGGACGGATAAACCTGAACGACCATCAGTCTTCATACGTCGAGAGTGACCACTGGAAAGCCATCCTGGATGAGATTAGTGACCTGAAAGACATGGTACAGGAACAAGTTGAAGAACCACAACATACTGAGCCAACACTCCCTGGAAACGACCTGTTTCTTCTCCAAACATACCCAGTTACAAAAATGGATATCGTCGCTGCGATTCCGCCCCGCATAATTGTCGATAGCATGATCTCGAAATACTTCAAATGGGCGGACATGCCCGTCTCACTTGTCGTTCACCGCAAGGTCTTTATCAAACAATACGAAGCGTTTTGGGAAGATCCGCTTTCGACGTCAACCATGTGGCTGACTATATTATACGGCATGATGTATACAGTAGCCTATTGTACGCTATTCATGAACGGCGGTGCGGCCTCATTGGACGAGACGACAGCAGCCGAATATCACAGCCTGATCATCATCTCACGAGAGAAGATGATACAATGTCTTAGGCTGGGTAACTACATGAAGGGCGTACCGCATACCATCGAGGCCTTACTGGCTTTCCTTCAGACCGAATACGTTCAAGGTGAAGACACACAACAGGGCTGTTGGCAATTGACGGGCGTTATAATACGCGTAGCGCTCAAGATGGGTTACCACCGCGATGGCTCGCATTTCCCACAGATGAGTGTCTACGAGGCCGAAATGCGCAGGCGTACCTGGTACATCCTCACGCAATTTGACATCGCTTCAGCTTCTGAGGTCGGTCTTCCGCGAATCATTAAAGAAACTCAATGCGACACCGCTGAGCCGCGCAACCTCCTGGATGATGACTTTGACGATACGTCAACCGTCTTACCGCCTGCAAGGCCACAGAGCGACCACACGTTGTCCCAATTCCTAGTATACAAGAGCAGGATAATCTCCGTCTACGGAATGATCTGCGACTTCACGACATCATCTAAGCAGCGAGATTACGACGAAGCAATGCGCTTAGATGCGCTACTCAACACAGCGTACATCCAGAAGCCTCCCATACTCCAGTTGAAACCCATGCAGCAATCGATTTTAGACGGCGCAGAACTCATCACCCGTCGTCTATATATAGCGATGTCGTACCATCACGCGCAGATTACCCTTCACCGCAAGTTCATCATCCTTGCAAAGACAAATAGCAAATACCAGCTGTCCCATTCGACATGTATAAGCGCAGCATTGACAATGTTGCGGCTGCAAGCAGACTTATTCGAGCAGTGCCAGCCAAGCCGCATGCTTCATACTGATCGATGGAAGATCCTTTCCTTGATCCAATCCGAGTTCCTGCTCGCCACAACAGTCTTGTGTCTCAATCTGAATGACGACATGAAAAGAGGGCTCATCGGGGAAGAAGTCGCGCAGAAAAGCATGGAAGCACTCAAGACTTCGAGGAGTGTGTGGGAGCAGCAACAGGGGTTCTCGAAAGAAGCGCAAACGGCCGTGAGAGCGGTGAATGCTGTTCTGGGTAAAATGGGGAGGGATCCGAAAACAGACAGCCAAGAAGGTAATCTGGCAGGTGGAGAACATGGAGAGTCTTTCTCTTCATTCTCGGCAGACATCACTTCTGGCCCTAATCCGCTGGCATTTGAGGATGCCTCGCAAACGCAGCTTTCTCACAACATACCGGATGAACTTTCTGGCACAGCTTTTGACGAATTCTTGGTGATGGATCAAGAATTAGACGGATGGCTTCAGGTTTGAGATGAGGTTGATACAGTACAAAGTCGGTCATCGTCTATCTCATAACTTCGGTAATGTAGTATAGTCTTTCCCAGCTCTTCGAGAGCCCTACATCATATCTGTCGAATCGATGTACACCTAATCTTACACTGCAATCGCTTGGCTGCCTTGTCCGTCCTTCGGTTCTTCGTCAACGCCAAGACTTTCCATTGTGCCTTTTGGAGCGTCTTCAGGTTTTGGCTCAGACTGGGCGGGCGGCTGCTCTACAACTTCGTCAAAGATTCCACCTTCGGGCTCTGTGCCTTGGCCAATGGCCTTTAGTATTCTCCATGCCCTCCTGAACTCGTCTCTGATAGCAACGATACCACGGTGAGTGACGGTCCTTGCGACATTGTGATCGGTCTCGAACGGATCTTCGATTGCGAACAGATACCGATTCGTAACCTTTTTTTCCGCCGTGATTTTGGTTGTCGCGCTCACCCAGCCCTTGCTTTGCTTCGACAAGATTCCGCCAGGCGTCCGAAGGGACAGGACTTCGTTGGTCCAGTAGAATTGCGGGGGCTTGGGTCCATAGCCGTACCCGGATAGAGAAGCGTAGTACTGGAAGAATCCGCGTAGCAATTCACCGACAGACTGTGTGTTCTGTGAAAGGCGACCGGCTTGCGCGGCCTGGATGATCTCCGGCTCGTTGCGCCAAAAGCGGACCTGATAACCTGCTATAGTCGTGTTCTTGAAG